AAAGTGTGGAGCTGGAGGAACACAGTAGGCCAGGCAGCATCAGAGGAGCAGGAAAGTTGACATTTTGGGTCGGGACCCTTTTTCTGAAGAAGGGTCCTGACCTGAAACGTCAACTTTCCTGCTCCTCTGATGCTGCCTGGTCTGCTGTGTTCCTCGAGCTCCACACTTTGTTATCTTTGCCTTTTATGTACGTAGTCTGAAACTTGATAGTATGGATTGAAGGGATTGGTTGTGTAAATTTGCAACAATCAGAACGTGATTTGAATTGTTGCATTCATAATCATCTGATTTGAATGTAAAAGATGGATGAATGAATAAAGAATTGAAGGAAAAGAATCCGGCACCTAAAAGATGAAAGATGCTATTATTTCTGCTAGGCTTACGAAAGCATTTTCAAACTGGATATATGAAAACCAACAGATACTTAAATAATGGTGCACTGTTCCCATTATACTTGAGTCAGTTTCATTTTAATAGTGCTAAAGTTTTTACTTATCAATAATATGACCAAAATTGGTCTTCAATCACCACAAACATCCCCTGCCACTGCTTATGAAACTGAGTCACCATAGAGATAAAAAGGAAATTATCGATTTTACATAAATTTTAGTGTTGGGAGAGGAAAAAGGAAAATCTAAATGTGAACAAAGTTGGTTTATCTCCACAACTTTGCAGTTCTAAGAGGATATTACTGTGAAAGTATTTTGCTTTTATTATATATTGAGTTACTTGTAAAGAATTAAGAGAGATTCTCTGCCACTTCTCATGCCTGTTGATTGGTTTTCACAGGTTGTACTGATATTGCAGATGAAGTTTACATGGAAGTCATTGTAGGAGAAGATGATGCAACAGTAGGTCATGAGCAACAAATTGAAGACGCAGACATTAGCAAGACATTTGTGCCTGTAGCTTGGGCTACTGCATATGGTAAATATTTTTACATATTCTTTAGGTTTATTGTAGGATTATTTTCAGTGTAATGATATATATTTGATTCTGATTAAAAGTCTATGAAATTTTCTTATGCATTGCCTTGATAAGTATAAAATGCAAAAGACGGATAGAAATTCTCCTCCACTCCAACCCTAACAGTTCACTGATTACTACATGAAAACTCTATCTACAGATAAACAGACGAGGAGACTTCTTTTGCCTTCTGGACTTTGCTTCAAGCTACTGAAATCAGTAGGCTTCATTTTATTCTGTTTTGAAGGTGCTAAAGCACCTACCTATTCATTCAAGACCCCAGAACTTTCTGGCACAGTGGGTCATTAAGCTATTTGAAGAAATTGTTAATGCTGTTCCTTAGCAAACCACTAGGGATGAAGTGTGTTCAATTTCACTTCAGCTTTCTGCACTTAGTGGGTGAGATTGTACAAGTTAACAGAGGAGCATGGCCCACAGTAAATTAGAATGGTGTTTATGACATGTTATAATTCGAAATTAGAAAAGAAAAAGTAATGCGTATTTTCATTATCTGTACTAAACCCAACCAAAAATGTAAGATCCCAAAAGCCTAATCTGTAAAAAAGGACAATGTCATGAGTTTGGGTTCTAAGGAAGGTTAATTGATTGAAATATTAACTTTGCTTCTCTCTCCACAGATGTTCCCAAAGTTGCAGACTATTTCTAGCAATGCCTGCTTTAATTTCAAAGCTTTGGGCAGAATAATTGTGCAGTTTTATAATAGAAAGGCAAAATTGGGAGCAAAGGCCATATTTGGCTATGAAAATTAAGTCAAAGATTTTAGGCAATGCTTACAAAGCCATAATTTGTTTAATTGCTGCAGCATATTTTACCATTTAAAGATCTAAGTTAACTGAGATACAAGTCAATTGTAGTTTCTGACATCTGTTGATTATTTGATTTTTTTTTTTGTTTGTAAAGTTTGGCCACTAGAATATGCACAAGAAGCACAGGTATTTTTAATTCTGTTAGGATCTGCAGACAAATTCCCTGGATTAAATTAATAATTCTAATACATGTGTATGTGTATATCTCTGAACAAAAATGAATAATTTTTCTTTACTCCAGGTTTAGAACACATAAATGGCTATTAGTATTGCCCACTGACCTTGCATAAGCCTATAATACATTATAAAGTTATTGAACCATTGACAGTATCACAGGCGTCATCATGGCTTAATGGTGTCAGAAGTTTATTCTTGAACGTGCAATCTTTGCCGATATGTATTGATCAACTGACGTCACTAAAATAGGTTATCTGGTCATGATTGCAAGGTACTTTGCAGCATGCGGCACTTTGTTGTGATAAGTTGGCTGCCAACATTTCCAGATCACAACAATCTGCATGTGACTATGCATCAGAAATACTGTAGTGTCTCTAAAGCTCATGGGGCGCCCTAAGGTCATGAAAGATGCAATGTAAATACATCTTCTTCCTTTATCACGACTCGGCTTAAATGTACTCTATTCAGCATTCAGTACACTTGCTAGTATCAATCACTGATTTGAAGTAGAATTTTTAAGACAGTATCTGTTAAGGCAACTTTCTGAAAGTCGACCATGTTGAGATTTCCGAGTGGAATGGCTCTGTTTTAGTGGTCCTTCTGATTCAACTAATATTGCAGTACTGATAAAGTTAATATCCTGTATACTGGTCTGGCACAGCAGCAATGACATGTTCAGTGCTATCTTTTATATTTGAACACCTTGTACTAATGTAAAACTTCTCAGTGGAATTATTTACTTGTAAAATACGGAGGAAATAATTACATTCAAACTTTACAATTTGCGACAATGTGTCCTGTAATGAATGCAGATCATTTGTATTTTTATTGGGTTAAATAAAATATACTAAGACACTGTGAATGGCAATTAATACCAGCTTTTGAACTGCAAGGGTCCATTTTAAAATTTTAGTGATATTATAACCATGCTTTCATAGCTTCTCCCAACTTGTTGGAAGTGTTGTTTTTTGTTTGTGACCAAACTCTTTCTTTTGGAGAGATTACCTAATGTACTCTCTAAAATTACAAACGTATTTGCAGCTGCTTTTTCTGTCTTTCCATCTCCTGCTTCCTTGTTACTATATTGTTTTTAAGGTAAAGATTAATTTGTTTTTATACAAATAGGGGAGTGGATTGTCTTTGGACCTGGTGTAAGAAATCAGTTAATTATGTAAAGCAGTAGATCAGAATTGATTAGCTAGCTCCCTAGTGGTTTTGGATTTATATCGGTTGAATTTCTTACTGCTTAAACAAAGTACCAGGCACACACCTAGATAAGTGGCTAAATGTACAAATGAAAGGTATTCTTTTCATTTATTCTATAAACATGAAAATATTTTTTATTCAAAAAAGTCAATTAAGGGTTCCACATAAAATATGTAAATAGCAATAGAAATTGATTACCATATTTTACACTCTTTCAGGTAACAGTTCCGATACTGTAGAGAACAAGAATGGAACTGCCAGCCACCCTCTACAAGCAGATGGAACAGCTGAGCTTAACAGGCTGGCAAAACCAAAGTCAAGGAAAAGGAGGAGACTTGAAAGTAGACAGTATCAGACAGGTACGGAATGTTTCTCATTGATGCACGTTTTGTGTTGGCGACAGAAGAATGTTTGTATGGTACCATTTAATGACTGGTTAATTTAAACTTAGCAAAACTGACTACTTTCCTGTTCACATATCTTCAGGAAATATATCTTCACTACATCTATGGAGATTTCTTGTGATAGTTTCTTTGTTATCTTTTTGACATTCAGTGCACCAAGAACTATCATTCACAGACAATATAACTGGGAAATTTGGTCATTCATTCATGCTCTTTTTGAAAAATTCTTCTCCTTTAATCCTGGTAAGGAATTGCTGATGTACACTTCGAACTCTGGCAGCGTGGCCAGTTGCTTATCATGAGGTAAAAGTTCTGCTTTGTGCTGCACTTGTATTTCTGCAGAACTTTGCTGCAAACCTAATTAAAATTTACGAAACTTATAACATTGGCTGTGAAGATAAAGTCAACCTAAATTAAATCTTCATATTCCAGAGTTAGTTAAAGCAGGTTTTGCACTGAGATTTTCATTTATCATTACAAATTTTGATTTCTGCACCTGCCACCACAACCATCTACTGACTTGTCAATACAATGGTCAGCTGCCACACTATTTTGAAAGCAACCATGCTCTTCTAATCATGGAAAGGCAACTGTCATATCTGTGTAATATATGCTATGAAAACTGCCTGGTAATTTTAGGTGCAGTATGCATTTCTCATCAGCAGATGCTGCTCCCTTGTATCTCCTTTTACTTTTTCATTATTTGCATGGGTCTGTTCACTGTGGAAAGTAGACATTAAGAGCCATTCTGAGTCTTGACCTGTTGTCTTGCATTGCTGCCATATTGCCATATGAATTAAAACAGCCAATTAAACAATGACAAACATTTACGAAAAGCACAGACATCATACTGCTATTAATTATTGTGCTACAATGTCTTTATAAAGCCAGTGTGAAGATGTGTGCCATTACATATTACAAATTATAGCTGAAACGTGGGTATATGTATATGCACAATTAGCAATTTAAAAAATATAATTGTGTGAGAACTTGGCATGGCTCACATTGCTTTATTAGGAAAAAATTGAGCAGTTTCCAACTATACCCTTTGGATTTGAGAAGAATGAGATCTTATTAAAACATGTAAAGATTTTCAGGGAGCATGATAGTATGCTTTTTGTCGTCGGGGAGTCTAGAACAAGTGTGACACAATTTTAAAATTAAGGGTCTCCTAATTAAGATGGGATGAGGATTTTCTTCTCAGAAGGTCATTAGTTTTTTGGAATTTTCCTCCACAGCATTGAAAGAAGGGTGATTGAATATATTTGAGGTTGAGTTAGACAGATTTTTGATTGATAAGGGAGGGTTATGGGGGTGGCAGGCAGAAAAGGGGAGTTGAGTCCACAATCAGATCAACCATGATCTTATTGAATGGTGGAGAAGATTTAATGAATGAACTACTCCTATATCCTATGATCTCAATAACACTTGAGCAAGGATACACTAAGCAGTTATCTGATAGATGGAACAGTTGCAAAGGCTTACTTTGCCTGAGATCTTGCAGATGGTGCTATTAAGCCAGACTACCAACACTGACTGCTAGACAGTGTCCAGCTGATCTTTGAGAAGGATACTTTGGAATGGCAAACCTGATAACCCTCCTGTACCCATCATCTGCAAGTGCACATCCAGTACATCAGCCATCAAACAGCAAATTAAGTGCCATGTTGTTCCATCACTAGGCCACTGAGTCTTAGGTTTTTTGGGCTAAGTCTGTGAGTTTGTGTTGAGTTTTTAGGAGTGATGTTTGCTACAAGATCTAACAAGCTTTCTCGCCATATCTTATTGAACTTGCCTCACAAACTACCAAACCTACCCTTTTTGGCTCCTCATGGCCAATTCCAGCTCCATCTTACTGTGTGCTATTTCCAGAACAACCTGCCAATCAGTGGATGTCCCAGAATTGACTGACATCCTTTTGTTCTGTCACCATCTTTAAAAGGTGTTGTGCACTAGATAAACACTGTCAGCCTTGAGCTGCCCTGCAGAGTTCCTGACATTTACCCCGGATATGCAGAGAGGTGGAAATCAGCCATTGGCTGTGCAGTAACGTACCTGGATGTTCTGCTGGTTAGTGTGGCACAGGTAGGGCTTTCTCTTCCCTGAGAACGTAGGATCAGAGGCTATGATGTAAGACAATACCTACCTGGTGTGAGGTTGTCTTCCAAATTAAAATCACCTCAGTCATTGGATTAACACACAGTACTGTAGGTAGAAAGTCAGCGACCCTTGTATTGTAGCTGTACTGGAACAGCTTGGTTACGGACATGACTAGTTTTGGAGCACAGGTCTTCGGTTACTATTGCAGGATGTTGTTAGGATCCATACCCTTTGCAGTATCCAGTGCCTTCAGCTTTTTCTTGATAGGTAATTCATATCATAATTCATTCACGTGGAATGAATCAAATTGGGATTGAAGACTGGTATTAGCAATGCAAGGGTGGGACACTGGTTAGCACTGCTGCCTCACAGCGCCGGGTTCAATTCCAGCCTTGGGTGACTGTGTGGAGTTTTCACATTCGCCCCTTGTCTGTGTGGCTTTCTGCCAGGTGCACTGGTTTCCTCCCACAGTCCAAAGATATGTAGGTTAGGTGGATTGATCATGCTGAATTGCCCCGTTGTGTCCTGAGATGTGCAGATTAGGTTGCATAGCCGTGATAAATGCAGGGTTACAGGGATAGGGTAGGGGATTGGGTCTGGGTGAGATGCTGTTTGGAGATGCTGTGCAGAATCAGTAGGCCAAATGGCCTCTGTCTGCATCATCGAGATTCTGTGACCTCCAAGGTGCCTGAGATAGATCATCCACTTGGCACTTCAGACTGTAAATGGATGAAAATATATCAGCCTTCTCTTTTGCACTGGTGTGCTGTGGCATCCCCCAAAGTTGAGGATGTGAATATTTGTTGAGCCTCCAGTTCTGATAGTTGTTTACTTGTCCCCCACCATTCATAAATAGCAGGAGTACAAAGATTAAATCTGATCTTTTGATTATAGGGTTGTTTAGCCCTGTCTATTACGTGCTGTTTCCATTGTTTAGCATGCTACCATCTGGGTGTTGTAGTTTCAGGTAGACACATTTTTAGCTATGCCTGGTGCTTCTGCTGGCATAACCTCCTGCACTCTTCATTTAACAAGTTTTGGTCTCCTGCTTTGTACTAATAGTCGAAGTGGGAAATGTGCCAGTGCATGAGGTTACAAGTTGTGGTCGAATATAATTCGGCTGCTGATCGCCCATGGCACTTTATTGATGCCCAGCTTTGAATTCTGACCTATTTAGTATGATGTAGTGCCTCGTAACACAATGGAAGGATCTCCACAATGACGGTGTGGTGTTTACTCCTAATAATACTGTCATGGTCGGATGTATCTGTGACTGGCAGATTGGTGATGATGAGGTTTGGTCGATTTTTCCCTCTTGTTGATTGCCTCACCACTTGCCAAGAACTAATCTAGCAGCTATGTTCTTTTGGACTCGGATGGCGTTGTCAGTAATTGTAGTCTTGCAGCTTAGGACTTGGCGAGCTTAGTCAGTACTAGTGCTGTGGAGCTATTCTTGATGTTGGACTTTGAAATGCCCCACCCATTCTTCAGCACTTCCTCCATGTGACTTCATCATGGATTTAATGTTGATGCAGCAATTAGGTATGTTTGGGGGGGGTGGTCGTGGAAGGTCGTCAGTATGCTGCAATAAACAGGAGGTTTCCTTGTTTATGTGATTTCATGTAATGAGATTTTATGGCTTCAGAAGACCATTTCTAGGTCAGTTCTCTCTAAACTATATATCACTGTGCTGCTACCTCTGGTGAATTGGTGGGACCCAGCTTGCGGTGAGACATGACATGCCCTGGGATGCTGATGGTAGTGTCTGGAACTTTATCTGTTGGGTCTAATTCCAAGAGTATGGCTATAGCTTGACTAGACTACGGGAGCTGTCCCAGATGTTGGCCTAGATGTTGGGAAAGCAGACTCTTATGGTGTTGACAGGGATGTCTTTGCCGCTGTAGTTTTTGGTACTCGGGTCAGTGCCAGGTGGTCTTTCTAGTTTCAGACCTTTCTTCAGACTTGCTAGCAGTTTGATACAACTGTGTAGCTTGTTAGGTCATCTCAGGGCAGTGGAGAGTCATTTGCATCACTGTGTGTCTGGAGTCACGTACAGGCCAAATCAAGTGAGGAGGTCATAGCTCTTAGGCCTAAATTGTGTGTAAAGTACCTGGTTTTTTAAGTTTTTACGTTAATATTTCCAAGTTGTCATGTGCTGTCTTTAAAACTATCATCCCTGTCCCACTCCCTCACCCCATCTGCCTTCTGATGTGCCACTGGCTTACACTGACATGTGGATTCTTTTGCCTTGGCTGCTGTCTGGTGGCTCATTCAAATGAACAGGTTTTTTTGTACTTTGTGTAGATTGACAGTTATTGTTGACGGGCTGATCAAAGGAATATGCATCGCAATCTATTTAATCCTGTCCAGATCTATAATTTACTTTCCAACAGATCACATGGATTATAGTCAAGGATGGGATCTGTTACTTTTTAATCTCTTAGCTAAAGGATATTAATGACAAATGTAGCACCATTCATATCCGTTTGGATTAGGTCAGGTAACACAAACTGCATCGATATGAATTGCAGAGCTCTATGCTCCTTTAAAAGTTGAAACATGAGGGAGGGCTACCTGAGAGCATTTTTGAGTACAGCTGCTGCCTTTCAGCATTCCTGGGGCTAGTAGGAGAAGAATGGAGATTTTATTTTGAGTAAGTGATTTAGTTTATTACAGGGGACGGATTTGGTTTGCAACCTTCTCGTTCTTGTTATCTTGAAGCTTCTGTAAAATGTAACATTTTAAGATTGTTGTTGAGATGAAAGAAAATTTAATTACAGAAGGTTGTTCACTTTCTGTCTGTTGTGACAATAATGTAATGATAATGTCAGTAAGCTAATAATCCAGAACCCCAGCTAATGTTCTGGGGCCATGGGTTTGAATCCCACTATAGCATATGGTGACATTTGAATTCAGTAAAATCCTGGAATTAAAAATAAAAACTAGCCTAAGCAGTGAATTGTCATTTTTATAAAAAATCTGGTTCACTAATGTCCTTCAGGGAAGAAAATCTGATGTCCTTACCTGGTCTGGCCTACATGTAACTCCAGACCCAATATGGTTGATTTGTAACTACCCACTCAAATGCTGGCCAAGCTAGCAACGCCCATATCCTGTGAATAAATAAAGAATAACCAGGATATCCCTGGAAACTATTTTTAAAACAAAACAGCTGTACTGGTTTGATGTTGTTGCAATTGTTTGGTGCTGAAGACTGACATTTTATTCTTTATTCTGTTGCAGCAATCATCATAGGGCCTGATGGTCATCCCATAACTGTTTATCCATGTATGATCTGTGGAAAAAAATTCAAGTCCAGAGGTTTCCTGAAGCGACACATGAAAAATCATCCAGAGCAACTGACCAAGAAAAAGTACCAGTGTACTGACTGTGATTACACTACTAACAAGAAAAACAGTTTACACAACCACCTGGAGAGTCACATGCTTATGAACAAAGTGGAGAAGACCTATGAGTGTGATGAATGTGGCAAAGAGTTTTCCCATCCAGGAGCACTGGTTTCCCACAAATTGGTTCACCGTGAAAAGGGAGCCACAAAGATGCACAAATGCAAATTTTGTGAGTATGAGACTGCAGAACAAGGGCTTCTGAATCGTCACCTCTTGGCTGTGCATAGCAAGAATTTCCCACACATATGTGTGGAGTGCGGCAAGGGATTTCGCCATCCTTCAGAGTTGAGGAAGCACATGCGAACCCACACTGGGGAGAAACCCTATCAGTGCCAGTACTGTGACTACAAATCAGCTGATGCCTCAAATCTGAAAACTCACATGAAGACAAAGCACAGCAAGGATCTACCATTCAAATGTGAGCATTGCTTGATGACATTCACAGATGCCAAAGAACTACAGAAACATGCCATCATGCATCAGGGACACAAGACCCACCAGTGTACGCATTGTGATCATAGAAGTTCCAACTCTAGTGATTTGAAGCGCCATATTATTTCAGTCCACACCAAGGACTACCCTCATAAGTGTGAAGTATGTGATAAAGGCTTTCATCGACCCTCTGAGCTTAAGAAACATATGTCCACTCACAAGGGTAAAAAACTGCACCAATGTAGGCACTGTGACTTTAAAATTGCAGACCCTTTTGTTCTTAGCCGTCATATTCTTTCAGTTCACACCAAGGATTTGCCATTCAGATGTAAACGTTGCAAAAAGGGCTTTCGACAACAGGTTGAACTTAAGAAGCATATGAAGACCCATAGTGGCAAAAAGGTTTATCAGTGTGAGTACTGTGAATATAGCACTACTGATGCCTCAGGCTTTAAACGGCACGTTATTTCAATTCACACAAAGGACTACCCACATCGTTGTGATTACTGCAAGAAAGGCTTCCGAAGACCTTCAGAAAAGAACCAGCATATCTCTCGACATCATAAGGATGCAGTTTTGGTCGAGGGGTTACCATGAACTATTTCCAAGTTAGGAAGCAGCTACTTCCAATACATCCATTGTATGGTAAAAAAATATTGTGTACATTTGTCGTTAAAGACTTAGAAGTTAAGTTCACTTCAATAATTGAACTAACTTATCCCCTTTTCCAATTGTATTGTGTCTTAGATTGAAGATCGAGTCTAAAATGAAAAGTTACATGTCCACAGACGTAGAAATCCATTTAAATGGACAGGTTTTGCGACGTGGTGTCAGATCTTGAGAGATGAATGTAATAAATTAGTTGCAACCAATCAGCTACAGCTTTGGCTTCTGCCATTATATAATTACTGAATCCAAAATTAGCTATTTTCTGAGAACAGTTTAGCTTCAGTTCAATTATGGATGGCAAATGTGGTCCTTTTATTAGTTTGTATCATTGCTCAGTTTTGTTGAAGTGCTACCGTTTATGAGCTTGCTTGCTTGCCTGCTTACTGGCTGAAATCCATGTTATCAGCACCTCCTCCTGTATTTTGAAATTTCATTTGGTGTTGGAATTGTAGTTATTTTTCCATCTGTGCTTCTGATGCTTCAGTGTATTATGGTAATGGTATGTTTTCAGCCCTCATCTGGATTTACATTTTTATTACAGTTTCATCTTTTTAAAAGAGGAAAAAAAACTTCACTTGATGTAACCTTGGGACTAAAGGCCTTTGCCTAACTACATTTTACTTCCAGATGTGCTTCATTCCTCTGTGTCAGGTGTGGTCTAGCAATGTATTGTTGTGGCAGAATTATCTCAACAAATTTACTTTTCCATATATGGTGTGTAAAAAAAAAAAAAAAAAAAAGACCGCTCATGTTTTTACAAGTGTACACATTTTTTCCAGAATTATATTTTGCCAATGTCTTTATCTTGTAAAAATAAAACAAATAGCGCTATATGTTTTTTAAAAAACGTTCTGTGCTTTCTGTAGAGTACTGCAGCTTAATCTTAAAGCAGCAATTTAAATGAAAATATGTATGTATTAGTATTCTGCATGAGCTGCAAAATTTATATTTTAAAACAAATAACTCCAAATGTAGGGAAATGCTTTACATGATGTACCTCAGCCTGAACATAATGTGGAGAGGTGTTTGGAGTAATGGGCAGGGGTGTTGTAGGGAATTGTGTGATGAAAGAGAGACTTTCTTTCAGTCTAAATCTTTTATAACACACAAAGTAAAAAGGATGTATATTTGATAACCTCGAACAACCACTGTTGATGATCTTCTGACGTAACCTTCAAATAGCTGATTCATCTGAGAACCTTGATAAAATTGGAAGGTTAAAATAATAAAATTGCAGTATAATTCAGGAATTTCAGGTTTGTATAACATTTTTGAGCTTCAAGATGATGTCCTACTTCAGATTTCTACAGCGTCCTGCAAGGTTTGAAATGCAGTAAGTTGGCTTCATTTGTACATCAGCAAAGTATGAATGGTACGTAAATGAAAGAAAACTTCAAAAGGAAGAATTGAAACATATCATTATGTAACTGGCAAAACTCTTAATTCCTCTACATGTTTTCAATGCATATACATCTTTTGCTGAAAACAGAAGAACATACATTATTTAAAAGAAAGTATGATGGAAGATAACATTCAATTACTGTAAAGGATTTTTTTTAGAAGCACAGGGATTAACCATAATCAAAATTCTTTTGAAAACAGTTTGTTTGAAATCACTCCAGAATGCTTTAGCCTATGAGAAATACTAAAAACAAACTGCAGTTTTTAAAGGCTTTATTGTTTGAAATTCAACCCTCCCCACCCTTTCCTTCCTTATCACAAAATAGTGTAAACTTATTTATTTGAAATCTGCTTGAAAACGTAGATTTTGCAGTGCATTGAATTGGATATGACAAAGCAATTATACAAATATTCTACAGTTTCATTTGGCTAACTTCAACCATGCCCGTTCCTTGTTAAATTAATGTGAACTTCATATTGCAACAATCTCCACTCTCATCTTTGAACTTGTTTAAGGAAATTTTAAGTGCCATAATATCCACTGTATGCCAAATGAAACTTAGTTGGATTACTGTCTTGTCAGAAACATATGTCATTAAATTTGCTATTTTGATATTTAGAACTTTTTGAAACTTCCTTTAGAACTGTACATGACAACAAATGCTGTGCTGTTGGTTAAGCTTAAGCACTCTTCATTGTACTTGTAGTGCCAGAGGCTATGGTCCAGACCATCTTCGCAACTGCCTACGCTGCTCCAATGTAATACTACTTTCAGAGAATAATGGACAAATGATGATGAAGGGGAAATAAGAGAAAATGTACATGTTTACAATTTTATTTTAAAAATGAAATTACTGTATTAAAAATGTTAATAGTTGCTTATTGTGCAGACATAATTGCTCTATGAATGAGAACTTTAGGTGTTAAACAATTAAATTGTTTCATGGATTAAATCCGTTTTTGTGGCAGTTGAGGAAGACTTTTGAATGGGTGCAGAATTTTTTTTAAATGGGATAAAATATATAGTGTTCAACAAAATGCCAGCTGATTTGAAAAGGAAGTTTTTTGTCCCTGTGCCTGTAAGCAAAACCATCTTTTGTGACATTATTGTATTTAGCAATGTACTTCATTTAATCTGTAAACAAATAAAATTTAGATTATTTTCCTTTGCATTATTTACTGAATTTTCCCCACCGTTTTATAAATACGTCAGTAGTAAATATACTGTTCGCTGTCGGTAATGAATACATTTCTGTACAGATTTTTAATAGCTAATAAATCTTTGGGATTATAAGTAGTAGCAAGTACAGTTTTTTTTACTATAAACATTTATAGGTTTCTTTGCAGGCTATTTTTAGAAATGAATTTCAATGCTGCAGCCAAGGCAAAGACCTCCTGGGGAAGCCTGGTCAGCAATTTCAAATAAACATTTACTGTAAAGAGAAAACCATCCAGGACGTGAAATTTGAACAAGAAAATCATACAAAGATCCATCAGAAGAGATAGTGGACAGTGGCTCCACCAGCTAATGCAATGTATCATGGCTGAACAGCATAATGGTCTGTACCATAGTTCTTTACATGACTAACAGCTGTTATCAGTACAGTATGGGATTCCAAGCAAAATGTTGTATCCCTCACCTCACTTTCTGACAAAATAGGTTATCTTTAGCAGGGTGCTTAAGTTGCTTTGTATTTGGAATGGTAAATAACAGGCCAAAAACAAAATAGCATGGGTGTAGTTCTTATACTAGCTTATTTGGATTATAGTGACAAAGCAAAAAAAAACACAGGAGCAAGGCAGCTCTGAAATAAAGGCATAGTTAAAAATATGAGTTGTCACTATGGTATAAGTATGCAGGTGAGTAGAATCTAGAATGACAGTAATTTGACATTATTGAAATACTATGCTGAACAGAAAACACTCCAGTGGTAAATCTTGGAAAGGTGTATGAAATCACCTTTGTAGTAGGGTGATGACCTCGGTCTACATCCACCTTTATATAACCATAAAGTGTGAAGTCAGAAACGCAGGAGGTGGGTGGATGGATCATTAATCCTGTCTTTAACATATATAAATTAGCTAAATTGGTTATTTGTCAGTAATTCTTTACTGTGTCATTGCTTAGCGTGAAGCATCTCAAAGTTGTATCACCTTGTTTTCTGTTCAAGCTCCATATCTCTTGTTTGTGTCAATTTTAAGATTCTCATCTTCAGGTATCACAGCATCAAGCCTCTTTATAACCTTAATATTTCATCCTCCCTTGTGTCTCCACATGTACCTTTACTGCCTTAATAACTCTCCCTCACTGCCCCTTCTACTCTAATATTGTTGGCACTTTACTTCTGCGCTCTGAAACTCCAAACCACAGTTTCTTTTACTTGAAAATTTCTCTCCCTGCTTTTAAAAATGTCAGCAAAATGCATTTATTGCTACCTTGCCCATTTCTCTCCACTATTCCCAACCCCAAGATTTATTTTATCCATTTTCTTGCATAGTATTTGAAGATGATACCCTTGTACCTAAATACTTTATTGTTAGTTGTAAAAAAGAAAATTTTACTTAAAAACTTGTCACCTATACTCCATGGAGTATAGGTGACAATAAAGACCAATTCGTAAAAACAAAAAGTTTTGAACATGTCCACAAAATAACATTTTGTGTTTGGAATATTTAAAACAATATTTAAAGGCAATACTGTGAAGCCTGAAACTTGGCGCTTATGAGAGAGCTGAAGACTTCCAATAATTCATAACCTTGATCTCCTAGATTTCATTAACTTTCTGAACTTTATAAATTTAGAACTGACAGCAAAAAGAGCCTTTTGCAGACATGCCAGAACTTTGCTTGCAGGACACTTTCTGTTCATTGATGGAAAATTGTTGAGGTCAAAAATCTGCAGGAAAACTATTTTAGCAGCAAAGTGAGTAAAATGCACTGCCATTTTTTAATTCCAAAACAAGATAAAGCATGAAATTTGCAACTATTTTTGGTGATTTTGCATGAAAGTCACTATGTTCTCAGGGTTACTTACCAAATTGAGCATGTTACAAATCAAAAGTTTGTACTCTGTATTTTGTACTTTGAAAGTTTGCATTGATTAACGTGGATATGTTAGCTTTAAAGCAACATTGCAGCTATTTTAACTACCAAAAATATAATTAATGGAAACTATGAAAAAATGATCTGAAATTAATCTATTGGTATCCCAGTACCAAGTCACCCTTTATTTACACATGGAGAATCCTTTACACAGAGCCAGCTCTCTGAACAGGATGTCTGATATTCCTATGTTTATCTGTCAGCCAGGGCTCCCTGATTGGGGCTGTTAATCTGGTCCAATGAGGAAACTCATTCCATAAGAACCCCCTGGCTGACCTCATTACAAACCCTCCCCCACTCCGCCCCATCCAAGGCCATAGGCGTTTTTCTTTTGCAGCTCCTCCAACTCTGCGTCTGATATGTGCAGTGTGTAATGCACACTAACTCGTCTCTTGCACCCAAAGCATCTTGGAAGAAATTCATTCTCTTCAGGTAGTAAAGACAGTGACATGGGCTATGTCCATCTCAAATTCTGAGGTATCTTTAACAGTTGGTGGAGAGGGAGAACCCACGGGTTCCAGAACAGTCAGGAAGTCTGTAGAAGACTCGGTGCTCCTGCACCATTGGTGAGTTTGCAGTTTTCACATAGTCTACATGCTTGTTCAGGCCTGTCATGCCTACCTAAACTTCATATGTCATTGGTCCTGACCTCACATCAACCGTGCCTCTTGTCCATGCAAGGCCATTCTAATGGTTACTCACAAAACTTTGTCCCCTGAAATAAACCATGTCTTTCGCTTAGCGGAGTTTTGTGTCTGTCTGATACTGGTGTTCCTGAGGCTGTTTCACACCACCCACCCACCCATCCATCTATGTCTGGGAAGCTCAGGTTTAACCTAGTGCAGAGTCTTTTCCAGGACAGTTTAACTAATTCTTTAAGCCTGCCTTCAAAGTTTGGACTTCTGTTTCTGCCAGACCATTACCTGATGGTTGATATAGCACTATCCTTGTATGTCGAATACCATTCAACTTTAGAAACTACTCCAATTCCCTGCTGGTAAACGATTGCCCATTACCTGTGATCAACAGTTCCAGGATTCCATGTATTGCAAAAGATGTGCACAGTTTTTCTATCATGCCCATGTTTGATGAATGAACTCCTTGCACATCCAACCACTCTGAGTGGGTGTCCACCATGACTAAGAGCATTGAGCCTATTGAAAGAACCCACATGGTCCATGGTTTACACAGCCATTCCCGTGAATGTGGGGAGCTGCTGGCAGTAATTTTTGTCCATGTTGACACTCTTGGCATTCC